TATTTCCAAGGAAACGCTGGATGAGCAACTGCTGTGGATGTTTCAAGTATTTTATTTATTCATCCATTCAGATTTCAATTAAATCTTATTGTAATTATCTGATGGCTCAAGGCATAAAGTACCTGCTTAACACCTGATCCTTAGCAGCTACACGGAACTGAAAAATACACAGCAGTCCAAGGAGAGCTTTGAAGGCTGTTGCCAGGGCAGAAGGCTCAGCACCCTCTCCTAATACACTGCAACAACCCTCAAAACGTTAAGAGGCTTATTGATAAAAAGAGAGGCTCTTTTGCCCTGAAGATTCACTCAATGGCCTAACGCTTCCCTGCAAGTGAATGAAATCAGCAGCAAGCTGACCTTCCGGAGGTCAGCAGATTCCGATCATCTTACAATTCCCAACACATCATTTAGGAGGTCAAAGGAAAAGGAGAGGGTTGGTTTTATTTGCTAGCCTTTCTCACTCCCATACAAGTAAACAAATAATTACTTGCTTTACACCCCCCCATTGTTGTTGCTGTGTGTGTGCTTTGTATTGCCTATAACGCTGGGAACATTTCAGACAAAAATAATAATAAAACACTTCTATATGGTATGACACACACACATATATATGAATGAAAAGCAGATATTCTGGAATGGAAATTTCCAGCAGAAATAAATAAAATTACAACACAAACTTTCTTAGTTATTTCATAAATTTTAACATACCACTTACTGTAAAAAAAGAAAGAAAAAGCCCTCAAGGCGATTGTAAGAAAGCTTTTTTTAAACCTGGTTTGGAATTAACTGTGGGTTAAACCACAGAGCCTAGGACTTGCCGATCAGAAGGTTGGCGGTTCGAATCCCCGCGACGGGGTGAGCTCCCGTTGCTCGGTCCCTGCTCCTGCCAACCAGCAGTTCGAAAGCACGCCAGTGCAAGTAGATAAATAGGTACCGCTCCGGCAGGACGGTAAACGGCGTTTCTGCGCGCTGCTCTGGTTCGCCAGAAGCGGCTTAGTCATGCTGGCCACATGACCCGGAAGCTGAACGCCGGCTCCCTCTACCAATAAAGCAAGATGAGTGCCACAACCCCAGAGTCAGTCACGACTGGTCCAAATGGTCAGGGGTCCCTTTACCTTTTACCTTTATACCTCATGTTACGTTTGCTTCATGTTACGTTCTTTCAGGTTACGTCCCGCGGCGACCCAGAAGTACCGGAAAGGGTTACTTACGGGTTTTGCCTCTCGCACAGAAGCGCTAAATAGCGCTTCGCGTATGCGCACAAGCACCAAATCGCACTGCGCACCTGCGCAGATACGGCGCTTCAGGTTGTGCTCTTTTCATGTTGTGAATGGGCCTCCAGAACAGATCCCATTTGCAACCAGAAGTACCACTGTTATGTCTTACAGCAGGGATGAGGAACCACAAACCCAGGGGCCAAATGCAGAGCTTCGTGTGGCCCCTGGGACTCTCCCGCAGCCCTCACCAGCTGCTTTGAGTGATGTTTTGCCTGGCAGGAATGTGTCATTGAACATTGTGCTTCTGACTGGAAAGCTCAGTTGGTTAGAGCACAGAGCTGATAGTGCCAAGGTTGCAGGTTTGATCCCTGTATGGGACAACCACATATTCCTACATTGCAGGGGGTTGGACTAGATGATCCTCAGAGTCCCTTCCAACTCTACGGTTTTACAATTCTATTATTCTCGCCTGCCACGATGGAGAGCTCTGGCTACTGTGGGGTCTACTGCCTTCCCCCCGCACTTTTGCATCTGGCCTCATTTATCCCTAGCTTGTTGCCCTATGAAAGAATCTGGCCCTTAGGATTTCCCCTTCCTCACCCTGGGTTTTAGTGTAATGTCTGAACCGGCAAAGCTGGCTAACCAGAGTCTAAAGTCATGTACTTAACTGTAGCCTTGTTTGGGAGCCTTTAGGAAGTGCATGCAAATATAGGCACTAAACATCAAAAGGAGGTTCAACTCCAACAGAATGATCACAGACGAAGGATCCCAAAGCGCAATCATGGTCAGAATTAAACTCCAATAAATTATACTAAACACAACCTAGAATCATAAAACTGTAGAGTTTGGTTATCTAGCCCCACCCCTAGCAGTGCAGGAATCACAGCTAAAGAAACCTTCACGAGCAGGGAACTTAATGTCAGAAAAGCATCACAACTATAGAAAGAAGATATTGAGGGGAAGGCATTAAAAACATCCTTTCATATACAGTGGTACCTTGGTTCTCAAACTTAATCTGTACCGGAAGTCCGTTCCAAAACCAAAGCGTTCCAATATCAAGGCACGCTTTCCCATAGAAAGTAATGCAAAATGAATTAATCCGTCCCAGACTTTTAAAAACAACCCCTAAAACAGCAATTTAACATAAATTTTACTATCTAAAGAGACCACTGATCCATAAAATGAAAGCAATAAACAATGTACTGCAGTCACACAATCAATCATTTGGTAGCTGAACTGGGTTCCACACAGTCACACACAAAAAAGAGCCGCAAAAACAAAAATGCAAAATATGTACCAAAAACAGACAGACCTCAGCGTAACACTCAAAATGGAATTGTGGCACTCAAATCAGAAGTGCAATACTCAAAATGGAGCATGTTTGGCTTCCGAAAAGAGTTTGAAAACCAGAACACTCACTTCCGGGTTTGCAGTGTTTGGGTTCCAAGTTGCTTGAGTACCAAGGCGTTTGTGAACCAAGGCACCACTGTATATTGTTTTAGTCAACAGAGCTGCCACGTAAAACCTGATGAGATATATTGCTTTGTTAGCTCAGCAACAAATCTGGATCAGCAGTGTATTAGCAGGCCAACTTAATTAGGGCCGCAAGAACTCAACGACAGCATTATTAGCAGCAAAGCTGCAATCAACCGTGCTGCAAGAGGCAACACCTGATCTCTCCAAAGCATTCGTCCCTGGGGCGCAAGGAGTTCTCATCCACTTCAGTGGCATTTGCAGACAGGGAGTCTCATCCAGCTGGCCTGTGCATGGACACAAAGACCAAGGCGTGCATAGGGAGCCGAACGAAGGATTTCAAGGGACCACTTTGAATGCAAGTCCTCACAGCATGTGCAAAGCTGCACCCGAGACGTCCGAAACTGCTTTACCGTGCATGCACTACACTTCAAAAACCCGTCTGCATACTGCGCTTTCGACTCTTAAAACGTTTTGTTATGATTATATACAGTGGTACCTCTGGATGCGAATGGGATCCGTTCCAGAGCCCCGTTCGCATCCTGAGTAGAATGTAACATGCGACTGCGTGGGTCACGTTTTGCCACTTCCACGCATGCGTGTGACGTCATTTTGAGCGTCTGCGCATGCGCAAGCAGCAAAACCCAGAAGTAACACGTTCCGTTACTTCCGGGTCGCTGCGGAGCGTAACCTGAAAACGCTCAACCTGAAGCACATTTAACCCGAGGTATGACTGTATAAACCATCTTAAGTTAAAACAAAAAGAAGGCACTGCCTACTCGTACTGCAGTCACAATTTTATTTATTTGTTTCATAAAATTTACAAATCGCTCGATTATAAAAGAACCTCAAAGAGGTTTTACGAAAAGAAAAGATAACATAAAAAAATCATCACTAAGAAAAACGAGCAACAATAATTCAAAACACCTGAAGAGTTAAGAGGGACAAGAGACTTACAACAGGTTTAAACTTGCAACAACTTTCCAAGCATCTGAGTAGGTTTGCTGTCTAAATGAAAGTGTTTTCTGCAGGTGCTGGGGAAAAAAGAGAGTACTGCGAAGGAGCCTGACAGATATCCATAGGCGGGGAGTTCCAAAGTTCAGGTGCTGCCACATTAAAAGATCATGTTCTTAACGAACACAGAATGGAATCGAAGCAGAGATTGTGCTAGGGTTATGTTTTTTAGGGGTAGTTTTTTGTTTCAATTAAAGAAATGCAGCTCTGATTTTGAGCCTATGTATGTAAAAATATATTTTAAAAATTGGAAACTGAAGGTGTTCAGGTAGGCGAAGGAGGAGGATAGATGCCGAAATGAGTCCCCTCCCTTTCTGCTTCCGTTTCCAATGCCAGCTACAAAATGACGTGTTGTTTCGAATGGTGGCACCTACAACTGTGCCAATTTCGCCAATCAAAGCAATTGAGTGGGCACGTATGGGGTAAGGCCAAGGAAAAGGCAGCGTTTGCACCCACCCCAGTGCTGGGATGGCCCAAAATGCTACATTTTCCCTGCAAAGAGCAGGCAGGGAGTCTCAGCCCTGGGTTGCTTAAGTGCCAGGACTGGGCATCCCTCAACCTTCCCTTTTAAAGATCACTCCCTATAGCACAGACAGAGAGTTTTATGGCCTGATTAGATTGGACGACAAGCTGCAGGTGCTGATGGAAGGGCCATTGGCGAAGGAGGCTACCTCAATGGTAATGCATCTGTCTTGCATGCAGAAGGCCCCTGGGTTCAATGCTGGCATCTACAAGTAGGACTGGGGGAGAAACTCTGGAGAGCGGCTTTCAGCCAGTGCAGACTATACTGATCTAGCTGGAACATTGGTCTGAATCACAATAAGGTCATAGTCAGGTCATTTCCTGTCATTTAGCAGGCTGGATCTGGCCCACGGAACAAATGCCGGTGACTCTACAGAGCTATGCAATTCCCCAACACCCAAACAAATGGACGACAGTCATACCTCGGGTTTTGAACGCTGAGGGTTGTGCGTTTTCGGGTTGCGGACCATGCCTAACCCGGAAGTACCGGAACGGGTTACTTCCGGGTTTCGGCGCTCATGCAGAAGCGCAAAATGACGTCACGCGCATGCGCAGAAGTGCTGAATCGTGTCACGCGCATGCACAGACGCAGCACTCCAGGCTGCAGGTTGCGAACGTGCCTCCCGCACGGATCACGTTCGCAACCAGAGGTATGACTGTATAGCACACACACCACCAAAACAAACCATGAACTACAGCAATGAACTATAGCACACCCCCCAACAAAACAAATTTCACAATGAGGCAGGTGGGGGGGGGGAATGTGATGCTTACCTCATGTGGATTTCTGTAGCCCAAAAGCAAATTTCCTGCTTTAATGTCCCCATGAACGTATTCATGTTCATGTATGTATTCCAAAGCATCCAGCTAGTGGAGGAGAGGGGGAAAGACAAATTACAAAGGAAAATAGGAGTCATACTGATATTAGGCCAGTGGATCAGCCAGTTTTAGTCGGAAAGCAATAAGCTGAAGAGGAAAAGCAGGTCATTTTCTTAACTCGCGATGAAAGTGGGGGGGTGAGGGAGGCATTGAAATTTTGATCTAAACCCATCTACAGTGGTACCTCAGGTTACAAACACCTCGGGTTACAAACACTTCGAGCTACAGACTCCGCTAACCCGGAAGTAGTACCTCGGGTTAAGAACTTTACCTCAGGATGAGAACAGAAATTGCACACCAGCAGCACGGTGGCCCCATTAGCTAAAGTGGTACCTCAGGTTAAGAACGGACCTCTGGAACAAATTAAGTTCGTTACCAGAAGTACCACTGTATGAGGTTCATGGCTGAGTACAGCCTCCCCAGCTACCACAATACACAAGCTCCCCAATATCAACGAGTAAACAACAAGTGATGAAAAAAATGCATCTCAGTAATTCATATCAACTTCATTCAATCAAATCTGCCTATGGAAAAAGAAAGCAATGAGTTGTATTCAATGCTACTCCTGATTAAAGAAGGCCCATTAAAGTTGACAGGCATGGCTAACTTGGGTTAACATCAACGGGTGTAATGGTTCTAGGGGTTGCTCGTGCGTAAGTTGCCGCCACTCCTGGCTAGCTTACCTGGTTGAACCCTTTCTCTCTGGACAGCCTCAAGTTTCGTGGCTGTCTCAGACGCTGGCAGAATCCGTCAGCGGCCGTTTCTTGAACCTTTTCCAGCATAAAAGCTCTTTGACACCAAGTCTCCTCCTACTCTCCCTGCGTGGAAGTCTTCTGCGCAGGGAGGGTGTGGGCAGCGGAGTACCCGTACTGTCTCCGCTGGTCTCCGGCGAGGAGTCCTGGAGCCTCCTCTCCGATTTCCCCATCTGCCCCCCTTCTCCACTGGTGTAACGCTGATTTCCTTCCCCCGCAGATGGGCTGCCTCTCTCCCTACTGGGACCCTCTCCGGCATCCCTCTGGAGCCTTCCCTCCGCCTCTAGCTCCGATGGCAGTTCCCTGACAACGGGTCTGAGTAGAACTTGGTTGGATACAAGCCAATATTTCTGAAGCAATATGTAATTCCTTTAACAATAACTTATGAAAACGGCACAGCAATCTGCATCTGGATGACGTTGCAGAACTTCCCCATTAGAGGAGCTCCTTCCAGGTTAACAGTACACAAGCATCTGTTAGAGACTGTTTAGAAAACACGCATTTCCTTCAAGCTTCGCACTGCTAAGGGCCCAATACCCACCATGCGGACTCCAATCTGCAGAACCGTTCCCTTGCTGAACTTTCGTCCTCCTCTTTCAAAGATGCTTTGCAGATCCTCTCCTAACCTTTCCATCACCATAAATCTGTAACTATATAAAACACACACAGAGAGACATAAGCATAGGATTGTCATGTTTGTTGCCTTGTAATATAAGCAACAAAATGTATTCTTCTTTTTGTTTCTTTATTTATGTACCACTTAATGTTAAAATAGGCTTCTACGAAGTATAAAAGCCCCTTACACAGACGTTAAAATATAAGCACCCACAATAAAACAATCCTATTAAAACCACACAGCGATTCAAACCAGGGACTCAGGTTGAGAGATCAAGGGAAGGACTGTATACACAGGTGCATGCACTAAGACTGCACTAAACTGCCTTTTAGCAGATTGGACCACTGGGTCTAATGCTCCAGTCGGTAGTTGGACTACCCAAGGCTCTTCTAATTTGAGAGGTATTGGTTTGCCTGTCTTCCCAAGTGATGTGTAAAAATTTTCAGAGACATCGTTGATGGGAAGACAGGAAAACTAATACCAGTGTACTGGATGAAGCAAAGATCACCAGTGTCAAAGCAATGATTCTTCAATATCAACTTCGATGGACTGGTCATGTTGTGCGGATGCCTGATTATCGTCTTCCAAAGCAACTACTCCATTCCAAACTTAAAAATGGAAATGGCGGTCAGCAAAAGAGGTTTAAAGACTGCCTCAAGGCAATTTTTTTAAAAAAATATAGTATAAACACCAACAATTGGGAAACACTCGTCTGCGAGCGCACAAATAGGAGAACAGCCTTTACCAAAGGTGTCATGAACTTTGAAGATGCTCAAACTCAGGACGCAAGGGAGAAACGTGCGAAGAGGAAGGCATATTTGGCGAATCCACACCGTGATCAACTCCTGCCCGGAAACCAATGTCCTCACTGTGGAAGGACGTGTGGATCCAGAATTGGCCTCCACAGTCATTTACAGACTCATTGTTAAAATCGTGTTTATGGAAGACAATCTTACTCAGCTATGAGTGATCGTCAAAGAAGAAGAATTTGAGAGGCCAGGGGGACAGCAACTGGGACCTTCAGGCTGCAAACCATGAGGTCTTCCACTGACCTAAAGAGCTTCCTCCTCTTTTTCAGGAAATGGACAACTGAACTCCCCACCCTCAAAAATGCTGATTCTTATTCACTTACATTGTGTGTTTGTGTGCACATGCGTGCATTTTCCTTACCTTTTGCCATTATGTTCAGTCTGGCCAGCTCCCCAGAAGAAAGGAATTCCTAAAAATGTCAATCGTTTCAGCTTCATCCACTTCTTGACTGGCAAAAATGTAAAGAACATATTTTTTAAAAAAAGAAGTTTCCTTTTTTTATTTAAAAAAAAATGCTTGCTTGTTTAAGGTTTTTTTAAAAAAAAACAGTTGAGCTTAGGGTTTTTATTTATTATTATTTATTCTACTTATATGCTGCCCTTCATCAAAAGATCCCAAGGCGGTGTACAATGTTAAGAACACGTTTCGAAACTGTTAGTAGAAAATAACAGCATGGAAATAGTAATACATGCAACTACATTTACGGAAGACAACAACTCTGTGCTTCTGTACAGTGGTGCCCCGCAAGATGAATGCCTCGCAAGACGGAAAACCCGCTAGACGAAAGGGTTTTCCGTTTTGGAGGTGCTTCGCAAAACGAATTTCCTATGGGCTTGCTTCGCAAGACGAAAATGTATTGCGAGTTCCTGCAGGTTTTTTTTCCTCCCCCCCCCATTTTCCCCAAGCCGCTAAGCCGCTTATCAGCTGATCCGCTAAGCCGCTTAACAGCTGAAGCCGCTTACAGCTGATTCCGCTAAGCCGCTTATCAGCTGATCCGCTAAGCGCTTAAACCATGCTGATCCGCTAACGTCCGCAAGTCTTTTTGCCGCTTAAAGCTGATCCAACTTAAGCCGCTTCAACAGCTGATCCGCTAAAGGCCGCTAACCGCTTATCAGCTGATCCACTAACCCGCTAAGCCGCTAATAGCGCTAATCCCTAAGGCGCGCTAATGGGGGCTTGCTTCCAAGAACGAAAAAACCGCAGACGAAGAGACCTCGCGGAACCGGATTCCTTTCGTCTTGCCGAGGCCAACCACTGTATTTGGAAAAGCGTTATTTGCCACATGTTAAGAAGTGCGTAAATGCTTTCAACTCGTCTGCCCTCCACTTACTATGCTCTTGTTTTGCAGCTCGCTGGTAGAATTTCAGTTCAGAAAACAAGGGGCCGTTTTCAAGGTATTCCTGCGTTAAAAAACAAAGAAGCAAATGCATTGGACGCATCCAGTTAATGAATGCCGCTCACAACTAGGGCTGGGCGATATCTGTTTCTCAACATCATTGTATATCACCAGCTAAACATCACGATATCTCAAGAGTTGAACAAGGGTTGGAGGCACCCCAAAATTTTAAAAACCCTCAGGCCACAAAGCTTCATACGGTTACATATTTTAGACCAGGCATGTCCAGCTTCCAAGAGACTGCGATCTACTCCCACTATAAATAAACTGGCAGTGATCCACCCATTGAATTGACCAGAGTTGTTGAGTTTTTGTGTGGAGGCTTCATCAAAATTAAGTTTTTTTTATAATTAACCTCACAGGATTGTTGGAAAGAAAAAGGGAAGGCTGGTGGTTGTGGTGAAGAACCCTATATATCACTCTGATGTCCTTAGAGAAAGGATGCGATAAAGTTGTGAAAAATGAATAAAGAGGATAGATAATGGGGTTGATTCCAGTGCACGACTTTACTGTCCTCTGCCCATGTACCCCCAAAGTCTACCCTAGGGGGACCTCCTCCCAGCCCACTGGAGCAGATTCTGAGGGTGCACGTTTAAGGAAGAGGAAGTTCTCCTGTGCAAGTTTACACAGGTCTCCTTGTTGGGATACTGCCAGGGAGACAAAGTCCATCATGGCCCCACGTCTCCTCCGGAGCGTCCATCGATCTCCCGTAGACACGCAGTATCAGCAATTAGCGACACGAGTTCCAGAATGCTTGCCACATTCCAGGGCTGGTGCACACTCTTATCAGCAGATAATGCACAGCGAAAGATGCACGCAGGAGAGCATTATTTATAAGTTTATTCAGCGTTGGTCAGAACAGAGAAAAACATGACCGCCTGCTTCAGGATGAATATTGGGACGTGGGTGGCACTGTGGGTTAAACCACAGAGCCTAGGGCTTGCCGATCAGAAGGTCGGCGTTCGAATCCCCGCGACGGGGTGAGCTCCCGTTGCTCGGTCCCTGCTCCTGCCAACCTAGCAGTTCGAAAGCACGTCAAAGTGCAAGTAGATAAATAGGTACCGCTCCGGCGGGAAGATAAACAGCGTTTCTGTGTGCTACTCTGGTTTGCCAGAAGCAGCTTAGTCATGCTGGCCACATGATCTGGAAGCTGTACGCCGGCTCCCTCAGCCAATAAAGCGAGATGAGCATGGCAACCCCAGAGTCAGCCACGACTGGACCTAATGGTCAGGGGTCCCTTTACCTTTAACGATGAATATTAATACTAGAAGATACATCAGGAAATTATGCTGTGCTGTTAGGGACAGGGCCTATAGACATTCTGAAATCGCATTGAAAATGAGGTAAAAATAATAATAGTAGCCTCATATGTATGGAAAGCAACACTGAGGAACTGCAGGATAGATTTCAGCACTTGTTGAGATACATTGCACTCTTTAAGGCCCCTCCAAACAGGGGTTTGTTTACAGAAGTATTCTGCAACATGTCATTAACGCAGTAACAGTGCATCACTGGTGGATTTATAATGGGTTGTCCACACATCATTCTGCTGTTGGTTGTTCTGTGGTGTTTTCCCCATGTTATTGCATTATTGCCATCTGGAGGGGCACTCCAGCGACAAAACAAACAAACAAACCCTGGGATTCTTGTGGTATGCAAAGTTACAGGAAGTTACAGGGAATGAGACAAAGCAGCCTGTCTACCCCCAAGATATCTGCAGGCGCAAACATTACTGAAAGCACGATCAAGTATAACCGCCCCAATATCATCGTGAGCACAAATCATCACAAATGCATAACAAAAAGGACATACAGAGAGGACCTTGCAGTAACTTACAGCCCTTTGCCAAGGAAGTTGATTTTTAAAAAGGTATGAAAATTACCACTTTAATGACATGCTCTGCACTGTCTTCTACGGGAACATCAAGGCGAGGGGAAGCTGCAGGACAGAATGTGGGTGGGAAGAGAGAGAGAGAGGTGGGTTACGGATGAATTGATCTCTCTAGCTATGAACAGAATTTAAGCAAAGTATCAACAGAGACAATATGACAAGTCCCATACAGACCTTGTTGCGTAGTAACAAACAACCACCATTTATTTAAATGCTTCTCTAAACAGATTAATAACTAAACACCTCTGGGCAATATAAATAAGGTAAAGAACCCGAATAGTATCATAATAACAACAGTGACAACAATGAAAATATCTTCTCACTGCATAACAAGAACCTCATGTAGACCTTTACCTGTTTTCTTCATTCCTTCAGTTACTGTTATTCCTATATACGCCCATTTCATCAGATGTGAAAACGAGGCCAAAATAAATCAGCAACTTGCTTCAAAGCCATCCAGTGAACAAGTGGCTGAGCAAAGACCGGAACCCAAATCCCCACAAATTCTAGGAGGAACAGCAGAACTGGGCAGAAGCGGGCAAGGTTCTCCGCCCCATGCAGCATGGAAATATGACAAACTGAATCTGCCAAAATTCATGAGCAACGATCAATTTCCAAATGACTTTGGGGTCTTCTTCCCCACTCCACCAATGTGGTTCTTCTCCAGGTTCTGTGAAGCAGAACGGGGAACAACTGCACTACTTGTACCCCATTTTTCCACCCAAAGATCGGCAATGAGGCATTAAGGCTGTGGGTTGGGGTGGCTAATCTGCGGCACTCCATATGTTGCAACCTGTATCATCCCTAACTATTGGCCAGGCTGGCTGGGGATGATTGGAGTTGGAGCTCAGCAACAGCCTGATGGCCAAAGGTTAAAGACCTCTGCTGTAGGTCATGCTAAACTAGGGGAGGAGATGCCCTGTGGCCATCCAGATGATGCTGGCCATGCTGGGCTGGGGGATTTATTATTATTATTATTATTATTATTATTATTATTATTATTATTATTATTATTATTATTTATACCCCACCCTCCCCAGCCATAACTGGGCCCAGGGCAGCTAACATCAAAATATAAATACATTAAAACATAAAATTCAGCAATTGACTGAAATACAGATTAAAATCAGATCAAATAAGGAGGCGACTGGCAAATTATGACTATAGGGGTTGGGAACCTTAGGTACTCACCAGGCTCAGCTATTTAGATGAGCCGGTGAGAGGAGTTAGAGAAGCCTCTGTGGCATTCGTACAGAGCCCCTGGTCATCTCACGGACTATTGACCTATACACCACTCATCCGCTGCCACCAACCAGGTTCTCCCCGGTAAATCACTTAGTCTCAGTCAGGTTCTCAAGTTAACAATGAAGAGTGTAGTTTATTGCAAACACAAATAAACTTTAAATGCATTTGAAACGCTGTTACCCTTTACCCTCTTAGTCTTATTTTATCCTGTCTCTAACTCTTCTACCTCCCCTCACACAAGAACCAACTCTACCAACTGTCTCTCTGTTTCCATCTGTCTGTCAACTGCTTTCCCAACTGCTTCTTCCCAACCAACTAACTACTAAACCTCGGGCTAAGCCCTTTTATAAACAGGTAGGCTCCGCCTCTGGCTTTTCTATTGGTCTACCTATTAACTCTTTTTCTCCCCCTGTACAGACATTTTCAAAAGAACGGGCAAACGCCACAGCCTCATATATAGGGTGTTGAGGGAGGAGAGGGGTCAGACTGGGCCCCGACCAAAGGCCTGGCGGAACAGCTCCATCTTACAGGCCCTGCGGAAAGATGTCAAGTCCCGCAGGGCCCTGGTCTCTTGCGGCAGGGCGTTCCACCAGGCTGGGGCCCGGACCGAAAAGGCCCTGGCTCTGGTTGAGGCCAGTCTAACCTCCTTGAGGCCCAGGACCTCCAAGATGTTATTGTTTGCGGACTGTAGGGTCCTCCGCAGGGCATATGGGATTTGGGGTCCAATGATACGCAGAAGGGCCACACCATGGACATCACACAAAGGGCAATGCTAAAAAGGAACTGGTCCTTGAGTGAAGTTGGAGACTAAGTCTAAATTCACATGAAACTGTTGCATACCATTAAATACTTCTGCCATTATGCAAATATTATAATTATAATTAACTTTAAAGACTTGATTTAAATAATCTTAAGAATAAGAGACTTTAAAATATCTTTGTGAAAATGTAACTGGGACCGAACTGATCAAGAAAGAGATAGAACTATTGAGTTAAAGCCTTTAACTATAATTAATAAAGCCAAAATTACAACCTTACAACCAATCATTATTTGAAATAAAAAGAAGAAACTTGTCTGTTAAAGGAAGAAAAACAGATTGTTGAGGAATAATGATTTCTTCAATAAAATTTAAATGAACCGAAGATAATTGAAGATAGTATCATTGATTTTGAATGATTAGCACCTTCCATACAAACCCAACTTAACTGGACTTTACCAATAACTTTGTACGAGACCTTACGTCTGATAGTTTCATTTTATGAACTGAAAACTGAAAAAAAGGAAAAGGAAAAATCAGCTGGTTAAGAACACTGAATAAGATGAGATAGCAGGCCAGAGCAATAGAAACTCAAACCTTGCACCATTTTCTCCAGTAAAATAAGGGTAAAAGACAAATAATCTGCAACTGAAACTCTTCTCACTTTTTCTGTCTTATTCTTCACATACTTTCTTCCCCAACTTTTAAAGTTAAATTGACACTCTCTCTTTACAATTATATTTCATGATGAAATCATTAAAGATTACATCACTTAATGTTAAAGGCCTAAATCATATCATATCATTATTATATTATATTATATTATATTATATATATTATTGCAAGGATATCTGCTTCTTTTTGTTTCAATTGTTCAGAATATTTATATATCTATATAACCTTTTAAAGCAGAAGTTAAATGGCCATCTGTCATGGATGCTTTAGCTGATATTCATACATTGAGGGTTGGACTAGATGACCCTTGGGGTCCCTTCCACCTCTATGATTCTATAATATATATATTATATGCCTGAGTGGGCACATATGCAGGAAAGGCAATCTGGCAGGTAAACTGGTCCTAAGCTGTCAAGGGCTTTCTCTTCTAATAGTAACGCAATGAGCTTGACCTGGTAACAAATCAGCAACGAGCGGACACCCCCGGGCAGCATAGCTGTCAACTTTTCCCTTTTCTTGCGAGGAATCCTATTCGGAATAAGGGAATTTCCCTTTACAAAAGGGGGAAGTTGACAGCTATGCAGAGCAGAAACGCTATATGCTGGCAGGATCGAAATGCAGTTTCCAGGTCAAGTGCAAAGGAAGCCTCACACAACAAGAGTGCGCTGCGGCGATCCAATCTTAAAAGCCGCCAATGCCTGAACTGCTGTGGTCCAGAAATGGTCAAAGCTGTTGTACCAGGCACAGATGCTAAGAGGCGCTTCCAGCCACTGAGATTACCTGTGCCTCCACGGATAAAATGAATGCTCAAATGAAAAGCATGATGTATGAATGCCGCAGGTTAGGAACATGGCCGAAGATTCCCTAACGTGAGTCACAGGTGGTCCACCTTGACTGCCTTACCATTACTCATTGACTCGCCCCCCACAACTCCAGTTTCCTTCCACCTCTAGCTACACCAACAACTTGTATCCCGCTAGAATGCACACCGTGTGTTTTCCCAAGTGTTAGGCTTTGGAAGAAGCTTGGAACACCTCTTTTTTTAATTTAAAAGAAGTGTAAGGCAGCACCAGCAACCAGAGGTCTCCAGATGTTCTGCACTACAAGTCCTATCAGACCTACCTAGAACAGGCTGGCTGGGGTTAATGGGAGTTGCAGTGCAAAACTTCTCTGAAGAACAAGCTTGTGAGAGATGGTGTAACAGAAGTAGAATCTGATTCTACTATAAAAAGGGAAAGGGACCCCTGACCGTTAGGTCCAGTCGCGGACGACTCTGGGGTTGCGGTGCTCATCTTGCTTTACTGGCCGAGGGAGCCGGCGTACAGCTTCCGGGTCATGTGGCCAGCATGACTAAGCCGCTTCTGGCGAACCAGAGCAGCACACGGAAACGCTGTTTACCTTCCCGCCGGAGTGGTACCTATTTATCTACAGTGGTACCTCGGGTTACATACGCTTCAGGTTACATACGCTTCAGGTTACAGACTCCGCTAACCCAGAGAAAGTACCTCGGGTTAAGAACTTTGCTTCAGGATGAGAACAGAAATCGCGCAGCAGCAGTGCGGCAGCAGTGGGAGGCCCCATTAGCTAAAGTGGTGCTTCAAGTTAAGAACAGTTTCAGGTTAAGAACGGACCTCCGGAACGAATTAAGTACGTAACCAGAGGTACCACTGTACTTGCACTTTGACATGCTTTCGAACTGCTAGGTTGGCAGGAGCAGGGACCGAGCAACGGGAGCTCACCCCGTCGCGGGGATTCGAACCGCTGACCTTCTGATAGGCAAGTCCTAGGCTCTGTGGTTTAACCCACAGCACCACCCGCATCCCTATTCTACTATAGAAATGTGATTAACCAGCTTGCAAGCAGATGGGTGCTACAGTGTAAGCTGTCTCCCTCCCTTCGACACGGCTTAAGAAGCTGGTCACCCAATCCGACAACGTCTGGAGAACAACTTCAAGGCCAGAGGTCATGTGTGTACAAACACAGGTCCTTTGCACAGTACGTTAACCACTAGGTTTCTTTTTCCTTTACCTGAATGAAAACCCTTTAACAACTTTACATGAAATCGAACATATAACTGAACTTCCTGGAGATCCTAGGGATTGAACCTGCGACCTTCTGCATGCAAAGCTGATGTTCTACTAGTGAGCTACAGCCTTTCCACAAACGAAACCCATATGCATCAGCTATTCGGCCCACCTAAACCTGAACTGCCTATTCCTGCTGGTTTCCCTCAGCTCTCCTATCTAGAGAGACTGAGCCCAGGATGTTCTACATGCAGAGCATGTTCTTTGCCACTGAGCTATGGCGCTCCCCCACAGCTTTTATTAGTTTTAATAAGCAAGCAGCAACATTGGAGCACATTTCTGGAGGAAATTGCCATTCTCCGCCTCCCCGTTCATTGACAGCCTGGCACCACAGCACCCAGAAGTCCGACAAAGTTAACTTGCTGGTTTGGTCTGCCAGCTGGAGCCTGCCAGCTTTCACTTACAGCGGTTCATTTTCGTGGCAATCATCTCTTGGAATATAATGGAGAAAAGTGTCTGCCATAGATCTTAGGGAGCCGCTTTTGCAGGCAAAGTTTGCACACTAGGGGAGAGCAAAAAAGCTATGCCTATTGGCAATTAAATAGAATTCCCCAACTCCTGTCCACAGCTGATCTCACTGCTGCTGCTGGAGGTTTTGGCAACAGATGCTCATTTTGCAAACACTGATGGCCTCAAGAAAGTGTATTTGTGTACGTGCACATACACAGGGAAAGAAGGGTGGGGTTTTTTAACCAGTGTTCCTCAGAAATTATTCTTCTGCTAGGTTAACATACTGGAGTGTTTCTCAAACTTAGGTCCCCAGCTGTGGTTGGACTACAACTCCCATCATCCCTAGCTAGCAGGTCCAGTGGTCAAGAACGATGGGAGTTGCAGTGCAACAACAGCTGGGGACCCAAAGTTTGAGAAACACTGCACTAACATCATAATAGCCATGCTAGGAAAGCATATTTCAGAACCAGAAAGTTTAAAAAATTGGCAATGTTTTCAAACTCAACTTAAATATGGTCCAGTAGACCTTTTAGAAAAACAACAACATTGTGAAAGTCTTAACATGCACGAAAGACATTAACTGAAGCTCAATCTGTGGATAAGCGTTCTACTTAAGCTTGAGGCCTGCAGAGCTCAGGGGAAATACTATGTTACTTTTGAGAGAAGATCTATACAGACAGAGCTATCTGATATCAAGGCTGTAATTGTCTAGTAACGTCTTCTCTCATAGGTCTATGTTTCTGCACACCTATCTTCTTCACTGACTCCTTTGTGCATGTAATCAAGTCAGATTCTGGCTGCAAAATCTTCAACCCCACAAAACAGTCAGTCTTTCAGCGTGACATGACTATTTGGACGCATCCAGACAGATGCTAATGTCGAAGTGAAATTCAATCTATTGTTATTGGCATCTGTCAGTCTTGAGAGACAATGGAGTGTGCCTCCAGGGGTGAAGTCAAACCGCTGCATTAGTAGCACTGAAGTGACCTCCCCAGGCTGGGCAGTGTGTGTGGAGGCCCTGGGCTGCCCAGATGACCCTCCCGGCCTTGCTGATGTGATCCAAAGCAGAGAAATACGTTAGGCACCAGCTTGGCTGCAGGAGTTGCTGCAAGGTGCCATCAACCTTCTTAGGGATTTCATTCCAGGGTTTACTCCTTAGCCTTTTCTACTCCTGACGTTATCCCGCAAGGTGGAAGTGATTTCATTTGGCCACTGTCTCTTAGGTTCCTTGTTCCTTATTCAGTTAACCAACAGCACGGATGCAAGCCAATGGGTTAGAAAGAGGAACCTGCAGAAATATTTGCTGTTAGGTGGATTACGGACAATCCACAAGGATATGTTTCCCTTAAATTGGCACTGTGGCACTGGCTGTCTTGTGGAATTGGCATCTACCTTGAAACTGGCATGCCACCTTCTGAATGGGCACGGGGACAGGACAGCAGATGGTCAGGAGCTGAGATGTGTCTGAAGACACCATGCGTAGCCCAGTTAAGCTTCCAGTGCCAAGAGGGACATCCAGAAAAAATTCACTTTTGCTCCTAAAGGTTAACGTCAGCTCTGAAAGTCAAACAGTGGTTTCTGAAGCTGTAGAAGTCAGGAATATCATCAGTGTTGCTATTTAGGGTTGTAGTCGTAAGAACCCAGAAATTACGTATTACCAGCATCTATGCTGGGTTAAAAATTGTATGGGAAAAATTTAGAGACGGGAATAAGGTAACCTAGGATAGCCATCCTCAGCCTGGTGTCCTCCATATTCTTTGGACTACAGCTTCCATCAGGCACAGTCAGTGCTCTGAGATAACGTAAGTTGTCATCCAAAATGTCTGGAGGGTACCAGGATGGGAAAGGCTGATTTAGCAGCAAAATTCTCAAGTACTCCAAACTGTGCCTTATGGTTATAAAGTTGTGTTTGAAAGCAACACGAAGATTGAACTGGTTAAGAGATGAAACCAACACAGAGATTGAAGAAATAACAATTACAGTCGTGCCTCGCAAGACGAAATTAATTCGTTCCGCGAGTTTTGTCGTCTTGCGATTTTTTTCGTCTTGCAAAGCACGGTTTCAGGAAAGTTTTGGAAAAGCTTCAAAAATCACCAAAGTCTTCAAAAACCTCAAAAAAGGCTACCACACCGCGTTCTATGAGTTGCTCCTCGAAGTCAAGTCGCAACTGTATTAACGGTGTTAAGAAAAAGGAAACAAACTTGCAAGACGTTTCCGTCTTGCGAAGCAAGCCCATAGGGAAAATCGTCTTGCGAAGCAGCTCAAAAAACAAAAAACCCTTCCGTCTAGCGAGTTTTTTTTGTCTTGCGAGGCATTCGTCTTGCAAGGTACCACTGTATAAGGATGGAACACAAACACACAGAAATCACCAACAGCAAAGGCAGCACATTGCAATGACTCAGGTGATGATCTATACATTACCTAGGTAGATTAGGCCAAATCCTCCCTGGCCAATCATACGACCTAGTCTCCACTCTCTTTTTTCGGTGTCTTTCAGTATTACCCCTTCTTGAAGAGGGGTGGGGAGGTTGCTTTTTCCATGCCTTTTAGGAGGCATCACACCTGAATGGGAGAAAAAGAGGAATACATAGGAACATATGAAGAGTTCTTTCATCTATATATTATTTCCTGAATGCCCCACTCTACCCGTGTTCGAAATTAGCCAGGCACATTTGCACCTGGCTTTTGACCACCTGTGACCACATAATGGCATCTGGCATCTCCACTCTCTGGGGAGAACATTGGATCTGTTTTCACACACTAATACCGCTTCCTGTAGAATTCTATCCGTTATATTTTATCTGAACAATTGGAATGAATTTCTAGAACCGAATTGCTTTTCCCGCCCTGTGGAATGGGCCAATATAAATGTGGACTGTCTCTGGATCGAGTGACTTTTCTTATTTACGTTCTCAAAGCTCTTAACCCAGCTCAAGGCTGTCATCTGAACTAGCCAGATGTTTCACTGAGAATCAATCACAGTCAGTCCATCATTTGAAAAATAAGCCTTTAGAGCAGTCTTGCCCCAAAATGGCAACTAGAAATTCCATTTTGGCAACTGCAACCTTGACTTAAGGAGCCAAATAACACTTATTCAATGGAGCATTCATGAATTGTTAATTTGCTGATATGATGTTCATGAACATTTATCAACTCTATTAATAGAACTGTTATTGTAGTCTATTGTTATCTATTGCTGTTTACTGCTCATGCAGTAAACACCTGTTATGTGTTGTAAGTGGCTTATACATGTATGATCATAATTTATTATTTGGCCCAGACTGCATTTTTATTTTTATTTCTTAAATTTGTTAGTTGCTTTACCTTGAAAAGTGACTTAAAACAAACCAAACAGACAGACAAAACCCTGACAAAATACATTAAAATCAAGAGGAGAAAGAAACACATCTTTTCTTTAAAAAATCCCACCCACTTATGCATATGTACTCAGATGTCATGCTGAATGCATCAAAACTTACTCCCAGCTAAGGACATAAGCACATCATGCATTTAGATCACATTCAATGCACATTTAAAGCACATGACTTCACCTAAGGAATCCTGGGAACTGTGGTTTGCTAAGAGTACTGGGAATTGTAGTTCCTTTAAAAAAAAATACATTTTATTGATTTTTTAACCTATCAGTTCCAACAGTCATACAACATAATCTTCACATCTTATGCAATATTTTGACTTCCGTCGACACCTCTGATGATTTTCCGTTCTTTATCATACTTCTGCATTTCTTAATTTTCTATTACTTTTAATTATCCTTAACTAATAATTCGGGAATTGTAGTTCCAAGAGGGAACTACAGTTCCCATGGTTCTTTGAGGGAAGTCATGTGCTTTAAATATGTGGCGTGAATCTGCCCTAAGTGAGTACAGGACTGCAGTTGCAGTCGTTATTTAAAAAAACAAGCATCTCTCCACTCATCTCCCAGGAGTCTTTGCAATACATGAGCCACACCTAGCTACATGCTACAGTACTAGCAAACTCAATTCTCCAAGTGAACACTGCCACTCCTGCACAAAAGGGATGCACCACAGAACCTATGGAGGGAGGAGACTAAATTTTGCAGGGAATTCCACTCCTAAAAAGGAGTGAGAAGAAAACTCAAAGGGGAACCACCCAAAGCAGCTGAAAGAACATGCCCAGTAGATGCAGAATATCTGTGTTTTCCCAAGGAAGGGGGAAAAACATGGGGAGGAATGGAATGGAGTACCCTGGAAGGGGCTGGCTGGCTGAAACCACCACTCCATTGCTACAATATTTCACTCCAGCTTCCACTTCCCAAAAGTCTCAGCAATTTTTTTACATTATTAAAAAAAAAAATCTAAATTTGCAAAGAGCCTGAGGACAGGAGGGTAGAGAAGCAGAACACGGAGTCCACTATTTCTTAGCTGGAACAGCCAATTTGCCGGGGGTTCCTCTGTCACTGGAGATTCCCCCCCCTTTAAAAATAATATTTATTTCATTTTTCATATTCATGTTTTACAATCACATATCCAAGAAACAGCATAAAAACAAGATTCCAAAGAATGCCGCCTCCCCTTTGTGGGTCTTACTGCTGATTATTTCCTCCTGCACCTTTTATAATAATCCAAATCTTTTACGCCTCTATTATATCCAAAATTCAACTTTAAACTACATGTGTTAGTCCAATCCAACTAACGATTTTAACTGCTTAGAATGGTTTTTAAGATAAATTAGCAATTCCCCCCCATTCCTTCTTAAAATTTCCAATTCTTCCGGTCATTTTTGCCATTTCGGCATAATTCATCAACTTAAATCTGCCATTCTTCTCTGGCAGGGACTTCTTTCCATTTCTCGGCCAATAACATCCGAGCAGCTGTGGTCGCATACATAAATAGTCTTTTTTTTTCTGCTCTATTTGGATTTTAGCACCTCACTGGAGATTTTTTTAAACCAGGAGGTTGGCTGGCCCTCCCTTGGGGAGTCTTTTAACTTTGCTGGGGGGGGGGGTTAGGCTAGATTACTCCTGGGGGGTCCCTTCCGACGCTACCATTCAGGGCCGGATTTAGGTTTGATGAGGCCCTAAGCTACTGAAGATAACGGGGCCCTTTATACGTCCAGCTGTCCTTTGTCAGCAACTAATTGTCGCTGTTTTGTTTTTGTGTGTTGAATATATGCTATACGGTAATTTATGGACCTAATAGGTATCTAAAGCCATTTGCACATCACAAAATATGTATTTTATCAAAGTCATTGTTGAATTGAAGCACAATTAAGTATATTAACAGTGAAATAACTATTAAGCTCTAACTTAAAATGATTGGGGGCCCATTACTTACATCACAGGAACCTACACAAAACACTGTTGCTGTATGTAGGTTTTATTTTGTTTTTTATCTTATATTTTGGAAATGTACATCCAGTTTTTTTACCTTTAATTTTTTTTTGGGGGGGGGGCTCCTGTATGTAGGTTTTATTCTATTTGTTCTTATCGAGAACAATGAGATTAAGGGCCACTATCTGAACGATAACCTTGGTCATTTGACTGCCCCTTTTTATTTGTATATATTGTATATATTGCTTGTTTTATGTTGCCATGGCGAATGTGAATAAAGTTCATCTATCTATTCTATTTGCTTCTTATCTTATATATGGAAATGTACATCCAGGGGTTTTTTTCCCCCTTTAATTTTTTTGGGGGCCCCCAAGAGAGTGGGGGCCAAGCTATAGCTTGTTTAATAATAATAATAATAATAATAATAAAATTATTTATACCCCGCCCTCCCCAGCCAAGACCGGGGTCAGGGCGGCTAAATACACTATTGCTGTATGTAGGTTTTATTCTATTTGTTTTTTATCTTATATTTTGGATGTACATCCAGTTTTTTTTCCTTTTTTGGGGGGGGCTGTATGTAGATTTTATTCTATTTATTTTTTATATTATAATTTGGAAATGTACATCCAGCTTTTGCCCTTTAATTTTTTTTTGGGGGGGGTCTCCTGTATATAGGTTTTATTCTATTTGTTTCTTATCTTATACAGTATACTGGAAATGTACATCCAGGGTTTTTTCCCCCCTTTAATTTTTTTTTGGGGGGGGGCCCTAAACTATAGCTTGTTTAGCTTAATACTGTACGTAAATTCGGCAGTGCTTCCGACGCTACCATTTTATGGTGGGGGGGGGGTGTTGTTGCGGTCCTGCCTCCCCCCTGGCCCTGGCTTAGCTCAAACTTTCAAGTCACCCCAAACTTTCAGGGGGACCCCCCCTACTTCTCCCCCCCCCTCCTTCTTTTGGGAGAGGCCGCCAAGTCCTCAGCCTACCGCCGGGAGAAGGCTCCGGGGCTCGGGGAAGTCTCTCTCTCTCTCTCTCCCCCCGCTGGAAACTTTGTATCTTCTTCCTTCCCTTCCTCTCCTTCCTGAGGCGCCGGGCGAATGGGAGGCCGAGCGTGACGGCGGCCGGTCAGAGCGCGGCTCCCGCGCCAAGGAGCCACGTCACGTGGCCCGGCAAGAGGGACTCCGAGGAGGTGCCGGCCGGCATTCCGGCTGCTGGGCGGGGCGGGGCGGGGCGGGGAGGGGGGGAAAGGGAGGAGTGTCCAAGCGCGCGCCCGCCCGCCCGCCCGAGAACAGCCTATCGGAAGCGAGGGCGGCGGACACGCCTCCTCAGCAAACAAACGCCCGGCTCCAGCGCGAGCGCGCGCGAGAGAGAAGCAGCAACGCGGGGCGATCGCGGAGTTGGAAAGGGGCCACGAGGGTCATCCAGTCCAACCCCCAGGGCCGGATTTAGGTTTGATGAGGCCCTCTAAGCTACTGAAGGTTATGGGGTCCTTTATATGTCCAGCTGTCCTTTGTCAACAACAAATTGTCGCTGTTTTTTGTGTTGAATGTATTTTATATGGTAATTTATGGACCTATTAAGTATCTAAGAGGGACGCGGGTGGCGCTGTGGGTTAAACCACAGAGCCTAGGGCTTGCCAATCAGAAGGTTGGCGGTTCGAATCCCTGCAACGGAGTGAGCTCCCGTTGCTCAGTCCCTGCTCCTGCCAACGTAGCAGTTCGAAAGCACGTCAAAGTGCAAGTCGATAAATAGGTACCACTCTGGCGGGATGGTAAACGGCGTTTCTGTGCACTGCTCTGGTTCGCCAGAAGCGGCTTAGTCATGCTGGCCACATGACCCAGAAGCTGTACACCGGCTCCCTCAGCCAGTAAAGCGAGATGAGCGCTGCAACCTCAGAGTCGTCCGCGACTGGACCCAATGATCAGGGGTCCCTTTACCTTTACAGTGGTACCTCGGGTTACATATGCTTCAGGTTACAGACTCTGCTAACCCAGAAATAGTGCTTCAGGTTAAGAACTTTGCTTCAGGATAAGAACAGAAATCGTGCTCTGGCGGCGCGGCAGCAACAGGAGGCCCCATTAGCTAAAGTGGTGCTTCAGGTTAAGAACAGTTTCAGGTTAAGAACAGACCTCCAGAATGAATTAAGTACTTAACCCGAGGTACCACTGTATTAGGTATCTAAAGCCATTTGCACATGCAGAAGGTAAAGGTAAAGGGACCCCTGACCGTTAGGTCCAGTCGTGGACAACTCTGGGGTTGCGGCGCTCATCTCACTTTACTGGCCGAGGGAGCCGGCGTACAGCTTCTGGGTCCGGACTGCCCAGACACTGAGTTCCAGCGCCTTCTGGCGGTTCCCTCACTGCGAGAAGTGAAGCTACAGGGAACCAGGCAGATGTTTTATTATTATTTAATAATGTTTTGTTATGTTTTCATATATGTTGGAAGCTGCCCAGAGTGGCTGGGGCAACCCAGTCAGATGTGTGGGGTATGAATAGTGAAATTATCATTCTGGAATGGGACGCCCCTATTTTCATCAGATAAGTGTTGGAAGATATAGCAAGACAGCAATGTGAACCTGGATCGTTCCAACCCTAGTCCCAACACACGAACCCTTAAACAACTCTTTCTGTTGTTGCATTTGCCAACCCTAGTTCCAAAGACTGGTGTGTTCTTTACAAAAAAGATGGGCTTATGCAGAAGTAGGTCCGACTGACGCCTCTTTCTCTATTTCCTTTGCCCTAAACAGTCCTCCTTCATGGATCACTGCCTTGCCGTGGCGAAGGGGCTTGAAGAACTCAGAGAAGCTATGAACTACGCCGAGCAGGGCACACAAGATGAACAGGTCGTAGTGGAGAGTTTCGACCAAACGTGATCCACCTGGAGGAGGAACCGGCAAGCCACTCCAGTATCCTTGCCAAGAAAACTCCATGGACAAAGACAACAGGCATATAAAAGTTATGGCGCTGGAAGATGAGCCCCTCAGGTCGGAAGGCGTCCAACATGCTACTGGGGAAGAGCGGAGGGCAAGTACAAGTAGATCCAGAGCTGATGAAGCGGCTGGGCCAAAGCCGAAAGGACGCTCAGTTGCAGATATCCCTGGAAGCGAAAGGAAAGTCCAATTCTGTAAAGAAAAATATTGCATAGGAACCTGGAATGTAAGAACCATGAAAGATGGAGGGCACAAGGAGAAGGGGGCGACAGAGGACGAGATGGTTGGATAGTGTTTTCGAGGTTACCAGCATGAGTTTGACCAAAATGCGGGAGGCAGTGGAAGACAGGAGTGCCTGGCGTGCTCTGGTCCATGGGGTCACGAAGAGTCGGACACGACTAAACGACTAAACAACAACAACAAAAACAGTCTCCTATTCCAAACCAGTGTTTTCTATTTTGACTTGGGGGGGCATGTGTGCAGCAGTTTTTTGTTTCTGCAAGGGTTTTATTGTTCATTGTCTCCTTTCCAGAGTCCCTAAACATCAACCGTGCAGATGTGCACATCAGCCTTTGCCAGAGGGCTGCATCACATACTTGCCACCCTAAGCACACTTACTTGGAAGTAAGTCGCACTGAACTTCCCAGGGTTTCAGGCATGACTTTGAAAGAAGAAGTGGGGGGGAGGTTTGAGATAACAAGGCCTATAGTTAAAAGAAAGGGGTGGAGTACAGGGATAGGATGGCGAATGCACATAGAAGAAGCTCCTCATCAAAACTGTTGGGTATTATATGCTGAGTTGAATAGGATCCAAAATGCAGCAGTCTGATTGATCCTAGAACAATAGGATCCAAATTGCAGCAGTCTGATTGGTCCTAGAACAATAGAATTCAGAATGCAGCAGTCTGATTGGTCCTAGAACAATGCAGCAGTATGATTGGTCCACAGGAGCCACCCAAACCAATCCAGCTCCAGGTGGAAGTGAATCCGCAACATGATTGGCCTATAGGAGAATCCTGGAATTAGCCAATCACGTGCGGCCCATTGTGTAAATAATGTATATAAAGCAGATATTTTGGGGAAACTTCCATTCCTATGAGCTGAATAAAGAGCATGAAATCCACACTCAACTCTGAGTATATTTCATTGGCTCTGGGTATGATCCGGTCAGGGTTAAGCGCAAATTCCCATTGTTTTTAGTAGACGCTTCAGTCTCCTGCGGAAATCAGTGGAGAACAGAAAGTGGTTAACTTTCATTGCATCATTACCCAAATGAGTCACTTGGAAAGATGCTTTATCAGGCGATTCCTGCTCCTTTGCTTTCGCTTCTCTTTTTCCTGTTGCTTTCTTAGGGCTGTTGGGAAGTCAATGAGTCTTTAAATCAGAGCCACTTCACACATTCTGGCATTCATTCTGGGTGATTTTAGTGTAAACCTAAAAAGGGACATGAATGTAATGCTTGCTTGCCAGAGACCTAGGTACGCATTCCAAGGATTGACTGTTTGCTCTCTAGCTACTGTAGACCAGTGGTTCCCAACCTTTTTGGGCCAAAGGCACACTTGTTTCATGAAAAAAATCTCGAGGCACACCACCATTAGAAAATGTTAAAAAATTTAACTCTGTGCCTATATTGACTATATAAAAATGTCAGTGGTGCCTCGCAAGACGAAATTAATTCGTTTCCGCAAGTCTCTTCGTCTTGCGAGTTTTTTCGTCTTGCGATGCACGGTTTCCCATAGGGAATGCATTGAAATCAATTAAATGCGTTCCTAGGAAACCGCCTTCAGACCAGGTCCGGGACAGTCTGTCCCCCGACCTCTTTCTGAAGGCTGGGGGGGGGGGAACAAGGGCTTTTCTTCCCACTGCCAGCCTTCAAAGGCTGTTCTGAAGGCTGGCGGTGGGAAGAAAAGCCCTTCTTCCCCCTCCCGCCCCGCAAGCTGCCCGGGGACAGGAGGGCTTGCTGCCGACCGCCAGCATTTTAAAAGCCCCTGCTGTCCCGGGGCGATTTTAAAATGCTGGCGGGCGGGAGCGAAGTCTCCGCTGCCCCGAGGAGATTTTAAAATGCTGGGGGTCGGCAGCGAACGCTTCGCTCCCGCCCGCCAGCATTTTAAGATCGCCCGCGGGGCAGCGGAGAAGTCTCCGCTGTCCCGGGAAGGCAGGCGGGGGGAGGCAAAGACTTTTGCCCCCGCCTGCCCTTCAGAAGAGGTCCAAGGAACCTCGTTCCGCATGCCCCGGAAACGGTGCGGGTGCGACGGTTCCCGCCCCACCGCCCGGCAATCGGGGCATCGTTCCGATGCCACGGCCAGCGGGGGGAGAGTTCCCGCACCCATCCCGCCCGGCATCGCCGGCATCGTTCCGATGACCCGGCGGCGGGGGTAGAGGTATACCCGCCCCACCGCCCGGAGCATCGGGGCATCGTTCCGATGCCCGGCGGTTGGGGTGTGAGGTTTCCCGCCCCACCGCCCCTGCTTCGGTAGCAAAGCGCTCGCGAAGCGGGGCGGCTGGGGCAGGTGTCCCGCCCCACCGCCCGCTTCGGAATAGCACCGGAGAAGCGAAATTCTCCCCGCAGCCCTTCTTCAAAAGAGGTCCGGGTGCAGCGGGGAAGAAGCGCTGACGCTTCCCGCTGCCCCCCGGACCTCTTTTGAAAGCAAGGGGCTGCGGGGAAGATCGCTTCTCCCCGCAAACCCTTGCTTCAAAAGAGGTCCGGAGGGCAGCGCGAAGCGCTTCCCGCTGTCCCCGGACCTCTTTTGAAGCAAGGGGCGGTGGGGAGAAGCCGATCTCCTCGGGCGCCGCGGCGCGCAGGCGCACTGCTCGCTCCTCTTTCCGCGCAGGCGCCTGTCTCTCGCTCTTTCGCCTCCTTTTCTTTCTCTCTCGATGGTCCGCCTACAAAAGGAGCGAGGGACGGCGCCCCGCCATTTTGGATTTGCATTCCAGCAGGAGATGCCCTGAGGCCAGGCGCCTGGGCCCCGCCTCTCCCGCCTCCCCTCCCACCCCGGCAAACCAGGCAAAGGTCTCACGGGCACACTTAGGTGTGCCGCGGAACACCGGGTTGGGAAACACTCGGCACACCAGGCAAAAGGTCCTTCACCCAAAAAATATTTGAGGGGGCCGCCCCTCAAAGTTGATGGACATTGCCATTCAAATAGTGTGTGTGTGTATGTGTGCTGCATCTTGTGATCAATAAATTATGTGGGGTAGGGCTTACCTTTAATATTTTATTAAAGTTGGCAACCCTGGTTAGAGG